GAAACAGGGAGAAGATTGGCAGATAGGTTCACAGAACATCTTCGAGATATTTAAAAATTCAAAGAGCACAGAATAATGCGGCTCGCATTGTTCTTCGCAGAAGCAAATTCGACCATGCTAAAACACTTCTGAGAGAGCTGCACTGGCTGCCGATCCGCGCTCGCATAGAGTACAAAATTGCAACTTTGTGCTACCGCTGCTTCGCCTTGAGACTTATGGAAAGCGCACTTTTGCATTGGTCGGCCAAACCATTTGGAACGCCCTTCCAGTCACTCACATAAAAAGCCAGACACTGGAGTCCTTTAAAACCGAATTAAAAACACATATATTTCGCAAACACGTTCTGGGGTGATGCTATCTACCCTCTTTTTTCAGTTAATGTATATTGGCTTGTGTTTCTTATGGTTGAAATGGGATGAAAGACTTTGACCTTGTATGCTCGTGTGTAGTTTTATATTGTTGCGTCTGTTTGTTAAATGTGGTAGATTGTTTTTATTTCTCTTTTTAATATGGTTGACTTTGTACCGCGCTTCGAGCTTTTGGGGATGAAGCGTGTTTTTCAAATAAACTTTATTATTATTATTATTAAAGTAAACTTCCCCCAGTCTCTTCACACTTCAATAGAGGGCAACATTAAGGGGCATTAGATGGATCCATTACGGCACTAATTTCTTGCACAAACACACCAGAGAGAGTTAAAATGGAAAACGTATTTATTCAGTTTTTCGTTACCATGTCTCCACATGTTATGAATGAAATACTCTTACTAATCTATCTCTATTTCCCTGTATTTCTTTTTTTCCCTTATTCCTCAGATTGTATGTATCCTTAAAGAGTTTGGTCCGTTAAGATTCTCTACCTTATTTTTTTTTCCCAGTCCCACTTTGTAAATTCTTACACTTCCTGTAATCCTACTTCCGGCAACAAAAGAAAACCTCTAAAGTTTTTGTTTACTCTGATCTGATACTTGTTACATTTCTTTTTGTCTTGTTTTCTAATGATGGCTCTGAGCCGAAACGTCAAAATCATATGTCCTGTTGATGACTTCAAGTCTGGCAAACTTTATTCTTACTACTGAATGCGCTAACATTAGATCCAATAAAGTTCCAGTTCACTGCTCTTTTACTTGATTTGTTTATTGCATGTCAGTTTAGTTAAATGGCAGAAATATTGGTGCCACCTCTCAGAAAATTGAAATATATTTATTTTGTAAAAATGATATCCTAATTGAAGATAAAAGATTGCAGATATAGTGAAACATTTTTGGATATAAAAAAAAAAAAGTTTTTTTTTTCAAATTTAGCTTTAGCAAAATTATTGCTTTTAAAACCAATCATTTTGGTCTGCAATCTACGATGAGAGATACATGGATCTGTCACTTAGTTAAGAGCATTTATTTCGGGATTTTACAAACTACGCACACGGAGCATTTAGTGTTTCTTTCTCTGCTAATGGTCTAGGACTGTGGTATTTTATGGTCTGGGAACACTGGGTGCTAATGGTCTAGGACTGTGGTCTTTTATGGTCTGGGAACACTGGGTGCTAATGGTCTAGGACTGTGGTCTTTTATGGTCTGGGAACACTGGGTGCTAATGGTCTAGGACTGTGGTCTTTTATGGTCTGGGAACACTGGGTGCTAATGGTCTAGGACTGTGGTCTTTTATGGTCTGGGAACACTGGGTGCTAATGGTCTAGGACTGTGGTCTTTTATGGTCTGGGAACACTGGGTGCTATTGGTCTAGGACTGTGGTCTTTTATGGTCTGGGAACACTGGGTGCTAATGGTCTAGGACTGTGGTCTTTTATGGTCTGGGAGCCCTGGGTGCTAATTGTCTAGGACTGTGGTCTTTTATGGTCTGGGAACACTGGGTGCTAATGGTCTAGGACTGTGGTCTTTTATGGTCTGGGAACACTGGGTGCTAATGGTCTAGGACTGTTGTCTTTTATGGTCTGGAAACCCTGGGTGCTAATTGTCTAGGACTGTGGTCTTTTATGGTCTGGGAACACTGGGTGCTAATGGTCTAATACTGTGGTCTTTTATGGTCTTGGAACACTGTGTGCTAATGGTCTAGGACTGTGGTCTTTTATGGCATGGGAACACTGGGTGCTAATGGTCTAGGACTGTGGTCTTTTATGGTCTGGGAACACTGGGTGCTAATTGTCTAAGACTGTGGTCTTTTATGGTCTGGGAACACTGGGTGCTAATTGTCTAGGACTGTGGTCTTTTATGGTCTGGGAACACTGGGTGCTAATGGTCTAGGACTGTGGTCTTTTATGGTCTGGGAACACTGGGTGCTAATTGTCTAGGACTGTGGTCTTTTATGGTCTGGGAACACTGGGTGCTAATGGTCTAGGACTGTGGTCTTTTATGGTCTGGGAACCCTGGGTGCTAATTGTCTAGGACTGTGGTCTTTTATGGTCTGGGAACACTGGGTGCTAATGGTCTAGGACTGTGGTCTTTTATGGTCTGGGAACACTGGGTGCTAATGGTCTAGGACTGTGGTCTTTTATGGTCTGGGAACCCTGGGTGCTAATGGTCTAGGACTGTGGTCTTTTATGGTCTGGGAACACTGGGTGCTAATGGTCTGTGTCTTGGTCTTTTATGGACTGGGACCACCACTGCGTGCTAATAGTCCAAGACTGTTAAGGACTGGGAACACTGATTGCTAATTGTCTTAGTCTGTGGTTGTTTATGTACTGGAAACGCTTGGTGCTAATGGTAAAAGTTGTTGTCTTTTAAGGACTAGGAACACTGGGTGCTAATGGTAAAACTTGTTGTCTTATAAGGACTAGGAACACTGGGTGCTAATGGTAAAACTTGTTGTCTTTTAAGGACTAGGAACACTGGGTTCTAATGGTAAAACTTGTTGTCTTTTAAGGACTAGGAACACTGGGTGCTAATGGTAAAACTTGTCTTTTAAGGACTAGGAACACTGGGTGCTAATGGTAAAACTTGTTGTCTTTTAAGGACTAGGAACACTGGGTGCTAATGGTCTAAGTCTGTGGTCTTTTATGTCAAAAGACTTTTAACTTAGAATTGGTAAAAAATGAAATAATCAGAAAATGTATCGATTTCAATCATTAAAACCGAAGGAAAGTATTGACATGTAGGGCTGTACGACATGTACGGCTGTATGACATGTAGGGCTGTATAACATAGGTCTGCATGACATGTAGGGCTTTACGACATGTAGGGATGTATGACATGTAGGGCTGTATGACATGTTGGGCTCTATGATATGTAGGGCTGTATGATATGTAGGGCTGAATGACATGTAGAACTGTATGATATGTACGGCTGTATGACATGTAGGGCTGTATGACATGTAGGGCTGTATGACATGTTGGGCTCTATGATATGTAGGGCTGTATGATATGTAGGGCTGAATGACAAGTAGAGCTGTACGGAATTTATGGATGTATGACATGTTGGGATGTATGACATGTAGGGATTTATGACATATAGGGCTGAATGACATGTATGGATGTATTACACGTAGGGATGTATGATTTGTAGTGATGTATGACATGTAGGTCTATATGACATGTAGGGCTGTATGACATGTAGGGCTGTATGACATTTAGGTCTGTATGACATGTAGGGCTGTATGACATGTAAGGCTGTATGACATGTAGGGCCGTATGATATGTGGGGCTGTAAGACATGTAGGTCTATATGACATGTAGGGCTGTATGACATGTAGGGCTGTATGACATGTAGTGTTGTATGACATATAGGGCTGTATGAAAAGTTGAGCTGTATGACATTTTGGGCTGTATGACATTTAGGGCTGTATGACATGTAGGACTGTATGTAAACTTCCTGGTTGCCATAAAACAATCCTGGTTTAAACGTGTCTCAAAAATATTGACGGAGACAGAGACTAGCGGAGACTTGTCTTGGGAGGCGCAATTTACGTTCCATTGAAATTGTAGAGGCATAGGACTAAACTTGTATAGGCATAGGACTGAACTGGTATAGGCATAGGACTGAACTTGTATAGGCATAGGACAGAACTTGTATAGGCATAGGACTGAACTGGTATGGGCATAGGACTGAACTTGTATAGGCATAGGACAGAACTTGTACATGCATAAGACTGAAATTGTATAGGCATAGGACTGAACTTGTATTGGCAGAGGACTGAACTTGTACAGACATAAGACTGAACTTGTGTTAGCATAGGACTCAACTTGTATTAGCATAGGACCTAACTTGTATTAGCATAGGACTGAACTTGTATTGGCATAGGACTGAACTTGTATTGGCATAGGACTAAACTTGTATTAGCATAGGACTGAACTTGTATTGGCATAGGACTGAACTTGTATATATTTCAATGAAAATTGCTCTTCACACAGTGTTAGGTGGTTGTCTATTTTTTAATGTTCTCTTATTTGTGTTGTATTTGCTTGTGTTCCTTTATTGCCTCGACTGTAGAACCATCAGAAGGTTACAGAATTACGTTCACTGAATCATCCATTGATTTAAAACAACGACTTCATTTGAAAGAATGAAACAATCATTTGATTTCAAATAGAACAGAAACATAAACTGATATTTTTTGACTTGTTACCTGTTTTTGTCAACTACCTAGTTTAAAGAAATAACAAAGTTGTAATCTACAAATTTAGAGACGGATGATGAGTGAAAACGGGTTGCCACCTCGCGACTTCCCATTGAAACACGTAGATTCCCAATAGCCAATAGAAATTGACCTCGTGGTGTTGGGACGAAGTAAGTCTCCAACGCCCGCTTCTTTCAACAAATCCCCATCTGAATCTCTTGCCCCCGGGACATGCCTGTCCATTTAAACGACAATTCTCCCGGTTTAATGCTTACACTAAGAATGGTCCCAGGGCGATCTAGGGCTATTGTTCCCATTGTTGATCTGTGTTCACGGGGCAGATTTGGACTTGTTTGGTCATTATCTTAAACCAGGGGATGATCTCGTCGGTATAAAAGAGGGCTGTCGCTGTCATCCTAGAGTCACTAGTCGCCAACAGGTTTGAAAGCAGCGCCTTCTCTACACCTTTTAGTAAGACAAGATCATGGCTTCGCTCGGGAAAGTTGTAACTCTGTTTCTGGTAATTATGTTTTGAATTTCAACATTAGTCTTTTTAAAATTTTATTTATGTATTTTAAGTATGTGAAAAGAGGTGTGTTAAATTTAGGCATATGTGTTTTAAGTATGTCAAAAGGGACATGATATCTTTTATTCATATAGTTTGTTTTGTTGTTTTGTTGTTTTTTTTTTTTTATTTGTTTGTTTTTTTTGTTGAAAAGGTAACAACTAATAAAGTGTTTCAGTCTCAAATGATGTATATATCATTCAATGATTTAATCAGAATAAACACATGACGTGCGTCCATGTAAGCTGTATTTTAAAGTTGAAACGATTCTTCTTTTGTTGATGACCCCTGACCCCATGTACACATATCAGGATCACCAGATCTTACGGCTTTCCACCCAGAGATTCACTTCTTGTTCATGTTTCGATCACTTAAAAACTGACTTGTTTTAATTCAGATTTTTTAAAAGTTACTTGCTAAATATTTGTTGATCAAATGGAAAAGTTCAGCTTATCTGGTAAAGAAGAAAGTTCAATTCCTGGATCAACCCTCCCATCGTCGATTTTAAATGAGGTTTTCTTAAATTTGTAACAGCAGTAGTATCCTTGAATCAGTTTTTCTGTTTACTACCGAAAGATCATATAATCTGTTTCTTATGTTTTGAGCAGTAAGACCATGGATTATGTTCCTTATGTTTATAGCCTTAAGATCATGGAATATGTTTCTTATGTTTTGAGCAGTAAGACCATGGATTATGTTCCTTATGTTTATAGCCTTAAGATCATGGAATCTGTTTCTTATGTTTTGAGCAGTAAGACCATGGATTATGTTCCTTATGTTTATAGCCTTAAGATCGTGGAATCTGTTTCTTTTTTTACCAATTACGCCCCCCATCAGTGATATCTATTTATAGAAACATTTTAGCAACAGACATTTAACGCTATCAAAACGGAATAACAAAACTGGCTTGTTCGATTTGTTTCTGTTCAAATAGCCTCAATAAATTCTATACTTAAACCTCCAAACATATCGGCATGAAGACCAACGGATCTCATGTTAAAAAAAGTTTTCATTGAAATCCATTTAAGTCATGCACAACTCTTTTTTTTTGGGGGGGGGGGAAGTGGGGCAATTAAATTGGATGTGTTGATTTTTGACAATCCAATGTATTGATTGGATTTCTGTGCAGTTGCAATGACCTAGGTGGTCTCGTGAGTAATAATTTGCCAACAAAGGTATACCTAGCCAGCTTAATTTATAATAAATTACCATTGCAAACGTGTTCAATAACTACATCGAACAGATTCATATGTAGTCTTCAGTGCTGTTATCGTCTCCTGTAGTTGTTTTCCTAAATGTTGCGCCCTTAAATGATATTGTTCCATTAAGTGTGTCCATTTACACGGCATTTTCTTACCAGCTTCTACGGCTTCTTCCCCCCCCCCCTCACAAATCTATGTCCTCAAAAATGACCAAAATGTGATGTACATTATTTTTGATGACGCTCTAAACCATGGGTCGGCTACCCTGTTGTTTTAGCCTGAGAAAGTAAGACTTCTATATCATTTAGCCAGACAAAGTAAGACTTCTATATCATTTGGCTTGACAAAGTAAGACTTCTATATCATTTAACGTGCCAAATTAAGACTTCTATATCATTTAGCCTGACAAAGTAAGACTTCTATATCATTTAGCCTGACAAAGTAAGACTTCTATATCATTTAGCTTGACAAAGAAAGACTTCAATATCATTTAACGTGACAAAGTAAGACTTCTATTACATTCAGCGTGCCATTTAAGACGCATTTTAGTTATCAAAAAAGAATTTTCATGTGCCAATGAAAATCCCTATGGGTGCCAAGACTGGCCCGTGTGCCATTGGTTGCCAACACTTGTCCTAAACAATTGTATTATTTTTCACCAAAAAAGCATCATTTTTACACCCAGTTTTGTACTTATGCCTAGCTACGCACTTGCAATAGTTGGCGTATTGATCACCTACCCACAGTAATCACTTTTGTACTAAAATCATTAAAATGTATTTCAGGTGATCCTGGTGGCTACTGATGCCCAGAAAGTTCCAGATTATTTCTCTCTGTATGGTAGTCCAAGTGTCAGTACATACACTCCTTCCAACTCTCCCTCCCCCTCACCCCCCAGCTACCCCTCTCCATCGTCATACCCCACACCCGCCTCACCGTCGTACAACCCCACCTCTTACCCCGTTCCCCCCAACCCAACCGCTTATCCCGCCACGAACTATCCCAATGCTTATCCTACCGCAAGTTACCCAAGTAACGTTTACAAGCCACCAGCCACTGGGTACAACCAACCAGCCACTGGGTACAACCAACCAGCCACTGGGTACAACCAACCAGCCACAGGGTACAACCAACCAGCCACTGGGTACAACCAACCAGCCACAGGGTACAACCAACCAGCCACAGGGTACAACCAACCAGCCACAGGGTACAACCAACCAGCCACTGGATACAACCAACCAGCCACTGGGTACAACCCACAAGCCCAAAGCCCTTACAACTACGTCTATCCAGTGACCTATAACCAGGGCCCTTACACAGCTCCGCTGGCCCCACAGTACGTGGCTCCGTACCCGGGTTACGCAAACGGTGGTGAGTACTGTTCATATATTTGATATCTCTTGTCTATTAACAGTAATAAATGGTGAGAGACTGCAAACGGGTTAGGTGCAAGGAAACTAGCATTCAAATGTTAGCATTACTTCCAGACTGTGACATGGATTAACTTTCGATTCTAACCTTTTCTTTCCTCTTGTCCATTCAAATGTTAGCCTTATTTCCTGACAGTGACAATGGTCATCTTTTAATTCCAACTTTCTCTTTTCTCTTGTCCATTCAAATGTTAGCCTTGACGTCGTACTATCATTTGTTTTCGGTCCTTTCTTATTCAGACAACTTTTCACTTATCTTTGCCTAGCAACATAGTCATAAAGTGGAGTGACTGCAATCAGAATAGAAAAAAGGGAAAATAAAGAAACAAAGTAAGGGAAAACCTTTTAAAAAACCTTGCTTTGATGCGTCCTTCCCCCCCCCCTACCCAGGTTTTCTCCCCAGGTTTTCCCTTACTTTGTATCGCTATTTTCTTCTAAACAAATAGTTTCTGGGTACATATGAAACTGATCTCTAATCTAGAGCCAAATATATTAATCGCCACGCTGAGTGTTCCTCTCCTTTCTAGGGTACAACGCCAACACCAACAACAACTGCACAGACCAGTCCTGCAAGACAAACGAGTGCTGCGAATTCAATGGGAAAAGATTTGTGTGTGTGGTGCAGGAGGACGGCGCTTATTCAGGTCAGTTTGGACAGTGTATTATCACACTTCTGTGACAGTGTATTATCATACTTCAGTGACAGTGTATCATCATACTTCTGTGACAGTGTATCATCGTACTTCTGTGACAGTGTATCATCATACTTCTGTGACAGTATATCATCATACTTCTGTGACAGTGTATCATCATACTTCTGTGACAGTGTATCATCATACTTCTGTGACAGTGTATCATCGTACTTCTGTGACAGTGTATCATCGTACTTCTGTGACAGTGTATCATCATACTTATGTGACAGTGTATCATCATACTTCTGTGACAGTGTATCATCATACTTATGTGACAGTGTATCATCATACTTCTGTGACAGTGTATCATCATACTTCTGTGACAGTGTATCATCATACTTCTGTGACAGTGTATCATCATACTTCTGTGACAGTGTATCATCATACTTCTGTGACAGTGTATTATCATACTTCTGTGACAGTGTATTATCATACTTCTGTGACAGTGTATTATCATACTTCGGTGACAAGGTATGATCATACTTCGGTGACAAGGTATGATCATACTTCTGTTACAAGGTATGATCATACTTCTCTGACAAGGTATTCTCATACTTCTGTGACAAAGTATTATTAACCATTGTAACATTTTAATAGTTCTTTTTCGAAAATTCAGTCTTGTCCCACCCAAACTACAATAATATAAAATATAATAAATTTCTAAAAAATGTGACCTCTTTTCTCAGGATTCTGCGTGAGACCTAAGCGTTGCTATAGCAACGGTGACTGCCCAGCCAGCCACTGTTGCGTCATTCGACTTGACCTGCCGTTCGACGCTACCCAGCAAGGCAACTCTGGCAGCTACGGCAGCTACGGAAGCTACGGTGCCCAAAACAGTTATGACGCATACGGAAATTACCGGCCAGCTAACTACAAGACAGAACGCGGAGAATGCTTACTTTCCGCGCTATTCGGCACCGGTAAGTTTATGACTATACGTTGATCTATTGTATTTGCTACGTCACGTCGTCATCAGGTTAAGTGAAGCTCAAAGCTTTAAGTAGTTTTTAAATGGCTTTTGAAAACATCAGAAACTCGAGTAGAGGATCTTGAAAATGGAGTTGCAATATACTTTGACGACTAAGATGGAATTGCACTTTGCTAACACTAAAAATTCCTTATTTACATGAATTACCGTTGTTTGTGTTCTTCGGCTAAAATAATTAAAATAACAGACTACAAATAATTTGATCTCATACTGAGAAAACGATGGAGTAAACCATTTACGGGTACTTTTATAGAGAAATAACCAACATAGGGTCCCATAGCTACCATAGGGCCTAAAAGCCAACATAGGACCAAATAGCCAACATAGGGCCTAATAGCCAACATAAGGCCATAGCCAGCACAGGGCTTATAGCCAACATAGGGCCTAATAATCAACATACGGCCATAGCCAGCATAGGGCTTATAGCCAATATAGGGCCTAATAGCCAACATAGGGCCTAATTAGCCAACATAGATCATAATAGTCAACATAGGGCCTAATAGCCATCTGTCTAAGTTACTATACCAAATACCTGTCTAAAATACTATAAAAAAACATCTGTCTAAGTTACTACACCAAACACCTGTCTCATCCAATCAACATCGAACTTTTTTCTTCTCTACCTAGCGTGCCGCAGGTCAGTCGAAGGCTCGGAGACGTCCACCTGCCCATGTGAAACTGGAAATTACTGCAAACTCAGTGTCGCCAATCCTTTGACTGGTAAGCTAGTTTGCTTGTTTCTAATGAAATCTTAGCCGTTGCCTCCAGACAAAACAAGAGACAACCGAAAATATGTGAGAGGACGGTGTTACAATAGTGTGATGCTTCAAAGAAGATCTCTACTTTGGTAGTTACGTTAGTTCTATGCTAAACTGTGACAGGTTTAACTTCAAAGAAAATCTCTACTTTGGTAGTTACGTTAGTTCTATGCTAAACTGTGACAGGTTTAACTTCAAAGAAGATCTCTACTTTGGTAGTTACGTTAGTTCTATGCTAAACTCTGACAGGTTTAACTTCAAAGAAGATCTCTACTTTGGTAGTTACGTTAGTTCTATGCTAAACTCTGACAGGTTTAACTTCAAAGAAGATCTCTACCTTACTAGTTACGTTAGCTCTATGCTAAACTCTGACAGGTTTAACTTCAAAGAAGATCTCTACTTTGGTAGTTACGTTAGTTCTATGCTAAACTCTGACAGGTTTAACTTCAAAGATTTAGTTTTATGCACTTAACGATTAACGTATTTCGCTGTGCATGCATTCACGTTTCAACAGAGATATCTTGTTTGCCCTCCTCACAGGTGTCTGCACCAAGACATAGTTCTTGTGATGGACCAAGTGAATCTTTGACGATCAGACAGCTGACCAGCTATCAAAATAAATATGAGAATCAAACAGCAGAATAAATGTTTCAATTGATCCCACAAATTCGTTTGTTGCTACCTTCTTAGAATAAATACATTGAGTTGTGTTCTGCCAGAAGCATGCTTTCTTTTCTAGTACTGTGTATTTATAGTGTTGTCAGAGGCATTGACTCTTGTCTAGTACAGTGTATTTATGTTCTGTGTGGTGATCTGACTTATGACTTATTAGTGAGGGGTACCTCTCGTATGAGATCTCTTCTTGGCACTCTGTCTAGGGATTCGTTATTTAAGCCAAATTACCACACAGACATAACACCTATCTATCTATCTATGTTTTTGAAATGAACTTTATTATTATTATTATTATTATATACATATAGTATAGACTGAAACGAAGTCTTAGTTAAAGGTGAAATTAACTACAAATATTTATTAAATAATAATATTTACAACTTCCTCCGTAAAACACTCTTGGTGCTTAATATGTATACATCAAACGGATTTTATCCAATTAGAAAGGTATATCAACACAAAGCAAGTGTCCCTAACATACAGACGGTATCATCATTATTACTGCTATATTCCTCAAGTTCTATGCTCGATCTGCGTAAACTTAGCTTTTATAGTTTCTGTGATGGTCTCGGTGGATCACACAGTGTGTGAGTCCCTTCTGTTCCAGAAGCGTGTCCCTGTTCCGGCCTCGGAGCTGTTCTAAGCGTAGCGAAGTCGGAGTTCCCTATAGTAGATTCCTTGGGATGTCTGCGAGGGGAAGATGACTCTCCCGCGATAAATCGTGGTGGTGAGAGTCCCTGGATCTCGAAGTCCTAGCTGTCAGGTAGTTTGGTGTAGGATGTCTATCAATCCCCTAGTTCCAGCTTCAAGGTAAGTTGGTCCAGTAATAGAAACCAGGCTAAAGGCAAAATGATACAAAAATGGATAAGTGCCAAGGCGAATATCCATAAGCTGATAAGTCCCGATCCAACAGCAACGAATTCAGATCGATGTATGGAAGGTGACGTAGCTTGTCACATATATACATCCAATTCGTGGATGGAAATATAAGTCTTGTCATTGTCGGCGAGAGCATATGTTGCATCGCGACAATGTTAGACCACGCAAACATTTTAATTAATGAAGTATAGGACATGGTATCATTAACAATCATTAAATTTACATGTTCATAATATACATATTGTCTTCTCGTTAAAAGAGACATGGGCGAGTTGGAACAACAACCTACCTACCATCCCCATGATCGGATGGCGGCGTGTCGAAGCCCGCGGCAAAAGCAATAATAGAATTCATAATATCAATATAGGCATTATTAGAATAAGATCAAACACGATCGAATATTTGCGACATAGCGAATGACAATACAAGTGCAATCCCATAATGTCAAAATCATGGTTGCGTACTTACTAGTACTCTAGGTAGCAGTTGCAGTTAAGTATCACGCCAGTGAAGTTCTAAGTCTAGTCACTTCAAGCGTCCACAATCAAGTGATCAGATCTTAAAAGTCATATACTTGCTAATATCCTAGGATGCAGTTATGTATTATGCTGACGAAGTTCTTAGTCCGGATCCTTCCAGCATTCACCGTCAAGTGATCAGATCATAAAAGACAGATTCTTGTTTGTTCAGGCTATTTATTCGAGTTGGGTGACGATTAGCCGATGATTCAATTGGGTGATTCAAATGTTGTATGTTTTTCCATCCAATGAAAATCACTTTCGATGTTGCGGGTTTGACCTTCAACCTTCAAAGTTTATCGGACTGAGGTGAACATCCTTATTCAGGCTTTGGCGTGAGTTTTCTGTCTGGAAAATGCAAAATCAGCAAGGGACGATACTCCGCCTTGCTGGTCTACAGGGCTAAAATGAGGGGGGGGGTGGTATTATTTCCTAAAGGTTGTTCGGTGGGATGGGTTGACCGCAAATAGCACGCTTTGGAGGTGAGCAAACTAATGCAGGAATGCGACATCACAAGGGAACTCACTCGTGCGAGACGACGGCGGGGCATCTTGAGGGGAGGGAAAGGAGTTATTTTACAAGGGTTTCCTAGGGCGGGTTTACGATGGAAGAAATTTGACAAAGTACAGCCTCAGATCGTCACAACAAGTCCAGCCTCAGATCGTCACAACAAGTCCAGCTTCAGATCGTCACAACAAGTCCAGCCTCAGATCGTCACAACAAGTCCAGCTTCAGATCGTCACAACAAGTCCAGCTTCAGATCGTCACAACAAGTCCAGCCTCAGATCGTCACAACAAGTCCAGCTTCAGATCGTCACAACAAGTCCAGCTTCAGATCGTCACAACAAGTCCAGCTTCAGATCGTCACAACAAGTCCAGCTTCAGATCGTCACAACAAGTCCAGCTTCAGATCGTCACAACAAGTCCAGCTTCAGATCGTCACAACAAGTCCAGCTTCAGATCGTCACAACAAGTCCAGCTTCAGATCGTCACAACAAGTCCAGCTTCAGATCGTCACAACAAGTCCAGCTTCAGATCGTCACAACAAGTCCAGCTTCAGATCGTCACAACAAGTCCAGCTTCAGATCGTCACAACAAGTCCAGCTTCAGATCGTCACAACAAGTCCAGCTTCAGATCGTCACAACAAGTCCAGCTTCAGATCGTCACAACAAGTCCAGCTTCAGATCGTCACAACAAGTCCAGCTTCAGATCGTCACAACAAGTCCAGCTTCAGATCGTCACAACAAGTCCAGCTTCAGATCGTCACAACAAGTCCAGCTTCAGATCGTCACAACAAGTCCAGCTTCAGATCGTCACAACAAGTCCAGCTTCAGATCGTCACAACAAGTCCAGCTTCAGATCGTCACAACAAGTCCAGCTTCAGATCGTCACAACAAGTCCAGCTTCAGATCGTCACAACAAGTCCAGCTTCAGATCGTCACAACAAGTCCAGCTTCAGATCGTCACAACAAGTCCAGCTTCAGATCGTCACAACAAGTCCAGCTTCAGATCGTCACAACAAGTCCAGCTTCAGATCGTCACAACAAGTCCAGCTTCAGATCGTCACAACAAGTCCAGCTTCAGATCGTCACAACAAGTCCAGCTTCAGATCGTCACAACAAGTCCAGCTTCAGATCGTCACAACAAGTCCAGCTTCAGATCGTCACAACAAGTCCAGCTTCAGATCGTCACAACAAGTCCAGCTTCAGATCGTCACAACAAGTCCAGCTTCAGATCGTCACAACAAGTCCAGCTTCAGATCGTCATAACAAGTCCAGCTTCAGATCGTCACAACAAGTCCAGCTTCAGATCGTCATAACAAGTCCAGCTTCAGATCGTCACAACAAGTCCAGCTTCAGATCGTCACAACAAGTCCAGCTTCAGATCGTCACAACAAGTCCAGCTTCAGATCGTCACAACAAGTCTAGCTTCAGATCGTCACAACAAGTCCAGCCTCAGATCGTCACAACAAGTCCAGCTTCAGATCGTCACAACAAGTCCAGCTTCAGATCGTCACAACAAGTCCAGCCTCAGATCGTCATATTCTGCCAGAAGCATGTTTTCTTGTCTAGTACTGTGTATTTATAGTGTTGTCAGAGGCATTGACTCTTGTCTAGTACAGTGTATTTGTGTATTGTCAGAAGTATTGACTCTTGTCTAGAACTGTGTATTTGTGTGTTGTCAGAGGCATTGACTCTTGTCTAGTATAGTGTATTTATGTGTTGTCAGAGGCATTGATCTTGTCAAGTACCAGTATATCTGTGTGATGTCAGAGGCATTGACTCTTGTCTAGTACAGTGTATGTATGTGTTGTCAGAAGCATTGACTCTTGTCTAGAACTGTGTATTTATGTCTTTTCAGAAGCATTGACTCTTGTCTAGTACAGTTCATTTACACTATTTTTATTATAAGTTACCAATAATACTTTTAAACAGACTAAAAACGTGTAGGTCTCTTCTCTGTTCACTAACGGTCGGAACATTCTAGGAGAGCAGACTGAATACAATGTTAATGGTAAAGAGAACATATTATGGGACAAGCCAACAAAGGAGGTAAACGCGACAGGCTTTTACCGAATCTTAGTGCCCAGACAAATGGCAGGCACTAACCTGGGGGGGAGGGGGGGGCGTCAGTTAATTATGTCAACAATTTTAAAGCAATTGTTGACTCCCTGCCCTCCCTGTAAACAACTCATCCCCCTAGAATAACAAGGTTCTATGTGCCTATTTAATCCAATCCACTTAGAACCTTGTTATTCTAAGGGTCAAACTTCCAGTGACCCCCCCCCCCCAATTATTTATTTCACAATTTATATACCCCTCCAAAAAAAAAAAAAAAAAAAAAAAAAAAAAAAAAAATCCCCCCCCAAGTAGTTATGTCAACATGTATATACCCCATCAAAAAAAAAAAATAAAAAAAAAAAATAATAAATAGGAATTATATTATAAATAAATATATAAATACATTAGAATAAATGCCAAGTGTCGAGCAGTTGAATCTGTTGTGTTGGCGATGAGTGTCTACTAGTTTGGCTAAGTCTTTCACTACAACCCGCGAGAAAGTATATCTAATAGCAACAGCTACTAATACAACAGACACCAGTTTGTTGCAAGATAATAATAATAATAATAAAGCTTATTTGAAAATCACTCTTCATTCCCCAAAGAGTCGAGCGTGGTACAAAGTCAACCATATTAAAAAGAAATGAAAAAATCTATATTTTACAACAATGAAATACTAAACGCAACATTACAAAGACTACATACAAGAATACCCATTCTAAGTCTTTCATCCCTTGCAACCATAAACAACACAGGCCACTTTACATCTAGGAGATAATAGTTAGCTGGAAAAGATGGCAGACAAATTCACCCCAACAAGTGTTTGCGATAAAGATATGTTTTCAAATCAATTTTGAAAGACTCCAGTGGTTGGCTGTTTCTGAGAGCGAAAGGAATTGTTTTCCAAATTGTTGGGCCAGCAAATGCGAAAGTGCGCCTCAAGGCGAACACACGGTAGCGAGAGTTTGCCACTATCAGATGAGCGGAGTTGTCTAGTGGGTACATA